CAGGGAGCTCAGGCTTAAAATGCTGCTCCTGGAAAACTCCCTCCGACCTGCGTCTGACCCTGTCCTAGCCCTGACCCCCCTCACACACCCCAAATCACTCATCCCCAGCCCCACCCCAGAGTCCGCTCCTCCAACCGAAGCCTCCACCCACTCCCACACCCCAACCCCCTCGGCCACAGCCTGGAGCTTGCACCCCCACCCGGAGCCTGCACCCCCATCCGCACTCCAACCCCCTGCTCCAGCCCTGAGCCCCTTCCTGCATTCTGAATACCTCAGCCCCAGCCTGGAGCCTGCACCCTCAGCCGCAGCCCTCACCCCCTCCGCACCCCAGCCCCCTGCCCCAGCCTGGAACCCGCACCTTCAGCCAGAGCCCTCCGCACCCCAGCCCCCTGCCCCAGCCTGGAGCCCGCACCCTCAGCCGCAGCCCTCAACCCCTCCGCACCCCAGCCCCCTGCCCCAGCCTGGAGCCCGCACCCTCGGCCAGAGCCCTCACCCCCTCCGCACCCTGGAAGCAGGTGCTTGGGGCGGCCGCTCCGGAGAGGGGCGGCACATCCAGGTATTCGGCAGCAATTCGGCGGACGGTCCCTCACTCCGCCTGGGAGCGAAGGACCTCCTGCCAAATTGCCGCCGCAGATCGCGATCGCGGCTTTTGCTTGGGGCGGCCAAAACCCTGGAGCCGGCCCTGCTCCTCCAGGGTAATCTTGAGCTCTTCTGCTACTCTGATAAACAAGTCTTGAAAGTGAGTGAGCTCATGAGTAGCGGGAGGTGGTGGGGGTACCATGGCATCTTGTGGTGTTATCGCTATAGAAGAGGTGTGTGGGGCAGTGTCCTCTGTGGGTGTGGCGGCCACTTCAGGTCTTATCTGGGTTTCAGTGTAAGCAGGCAGTGCGGCGGGTCTGACAGCTTTCCTCCGGGCAGCCCGCAGAAGACCTGAGTGTGGTGTGGTGTAGATCCATGGACCCCAGTGTGGCCATTGCCCCGTGGGGGGTACAGGTGGTCCCATCCAGGGATTGCCATACCAGTGTGGATAGCTTTGAGGACATGGAGATCATGCTGTAATGTGTCTCCCAGTTGTAGGTGAGTCTGGGGAGAGTATTGAGAGGGAAACATCTGGTCATCGTATTCCTCTTCCTCCTCCTCATCCTCCCACCCTTCATTGGAGGGGCTTGAAGTGGTAGGGGAGTACTGAAGGTAGAGTGCTAAAGGTCTCGGTGATACACTGGTGCCGAGAAGAGGAGAGTCGGGAGCATGGGACACCCTTAATTCCTCTGGCTGTAAAAACTGTGGTGGAGCTGACTGACCAGGAGTCGGTGCCAACGGGCATCTGCTGGCACCAAAGGGAGTCCCGGGGGCGCAAGCTGGCTCTGTGGAGTAGGAGCCCCTGAGGTAGGCACTGCAAGGGAGGCTGGAGACCTCAGGGGGCTCGGTGCTGAGAGCAGTGGCTGTAAAAGCAGCACCGCAAGATCAAAGGACGGTGCTGCAGCCGCTTGTTCTGTTGGCACCGTAGCAGCTCTCGGCACCGTACTGACAAAGGTGGCCGCAGCAGAGCTGAAAGAGGCGGGCAACTGGAAGCCGTGAGCCTCGGCACCATGTAGTGGGGCAGCCGACTCACGGTTGGTGCCTGAGGTGCCTGCCGCGTGGAAAGTGCTCAGCCGCGGAGCCGGAGGTAGTGGAGACCAGAGAGACGGTTTTAACTTTTTCCCCGAGGAACAACTCCTAAGGGGAGAGGAAGCTGGCCGGTTTTTTTGCTTTTCTTTTGCCTCTGGAGGGTGTCACAGAGGTTTGCTGGCCAGGGTCAGACGCAGGTCGGAGGGAGTTTTCCAGGAGCAGCATTTTAAGCCTGAGCTCGCTGTCCTTGCGGGTCTGCGCTTTCAATTTGTTACAGTGGACGCATTTTGGGGGCTACATTAGCTGCACAGTTGATGTGAATGCTGGTCTCCAGGCAGGTGGCTTATTGAGTCAGACACTTTGTGCCTTTCCTTTCCCACTCACTGCATAGCAGGACAAAGCCCACAGGGAAACTGAGGCACACTGCTCGTAAAAATATTGCCTGAATTTCCACATCCACACAAGTGCTCCACAGGGCGAGGGCTACTCTCACCTGCCCCGTTCAGTCCTCCGGAGCGTGGCTGGTGCTGCCTTGGACTCACCTGCGGCCCGTCTGGAAGCCTGGTCTGGAACATGCCTCTTCCCATAGGTGCTGGGTGTCATGATTGGCGTTGGTGTTTCCATGTTGCTCGTCGCCACCTTGATCCTGGTGCTGGTCCGCAGGCGGCACCTCAAGAGTAAGTGCCCATCTCTGCAGGGAGCAAATCTGATCCCTTTCGCAGCCGTGGCTCTGGCATGCTGCTGTCCATCAGGCCATCTTGGGCTTAGTGTCTGCAGGCTGGATAGGCAGTGAGACCGTAATAGCTAGAGCAGGGGGCTCGCAACCAGGACTCCTGGGTTCTCTCCTACTGATCACTGCCTGGGCAAGTCCCTTCACGGCCCTGTGCCTCAGTTTCCCAACATACAAAGGGATTGTGAGGGGTATCCAGGGACTGGTTGGGAAGGGCATAAAGCTCCTGGGGTTCTTTGGGGGCAGCCCAGCTTCATGGGGCTGGAGTGGGGGGGTGGGGGCAGGCAGGACTCTGCCATCTGTACCCCCAAGGCCTCTGGACCACTCCCTGGGCTGGGAGGTGGGTTGCAATGAGGAGTGCAAGCAGGGAGTCAGATTGGTGGGGAAGGGGGCAGGCTCCAACCCTTGCTGGGGTGGGGCCCTGGGGTCCCTGCACTGGTAACCTTTCATGTCTCCCTCTCTCTCTCACTGAGGTTCAGGCTCAGGAGACGCCCAGTATCGATTGTGCAAGCGGGACAAAGTGCTGTTCTACGGGCGCAAGATCATAGTCATAGAATA